GGGGGGAGGGAGCGTGCCCACTGCGGGATGCTGCTGCCGAACGACTCTTGCACCGAAAAGAAAGAACAAGGGAAGAAGAAGAAGAAGAAGAAGAAGTCATTTCCATCAAAAAAACCCCTGCCCAGGATCCAGCTGCACGTGTCCGGGGGTTGCTCCGCCCCTCGAGGCCGGAGGTGGGATGCCCCTCACCCAACTTCAGCGACCTGAGGCTCACCTGTGCAGCCCAAACTGGTGCTCTGGGTTTCCCCTTCCCGGTGGCTGTTCCCCTCGCCCGTGGCGCGACCTGTCCCAGGAAGGGATGAGGTGCCGGCCTCCTGCCGTCGCCTCGATGGGATGTCGAAATGTTGGGCGGTTGGCGTTAGGTGAGATGACTCCTTGTGTTTGTCTTTCCACACCTGGCTGAAGCGGCAGCCGTGGGTTGTCCTCTGATGTGACTAGAAGGCATGCTATGACTTGTCTTAGGTGAAAAATGAGACTGCCTGACAGCTGCGGTCCATGCCTCCCTAAAACACATGAAACTTAAGATCTGTCCTCTATAGTAGTTAACACTGACACACGCTTTTACACCTAATTTTGCACGTTATGGAAATGAAACTCAGAAATGATTAGTTCGTTTGACCACAATTTCCTTGTGAGGCAGTGTCAGCGATGGGATTGTAACATATTTCTTCTGCGATCCTAGTCTTGTGCTCTAATCATGCAAACTTCTGAGAAGTGAGAATTTAAATATTTTAAGACACTTCATGAAAAAATCCAATGACATTCTTTAGCTCATATGTGAATCATATTAAAGTACCATTTTTATCTAGAAGTAAATTTACTACTTTCTCCACAGTGGAAACAGTTTTGTCATCTAGATAGAAGTATTTCTGCTTTCAGTGTTTGTGGATAATCTCTCTCTTCACTGCTGCCCTTTTTCCAGTCTTCAGGTTTAATTAACTGAGAACAATAATGCTATCACTTTATTCTCGTGATAGAGAGACATACATCCTTAAATATAGTGAATTTCAGTTTCTCGGGGTACAAGTTGTATACCTAAGTTCATATGGGTCAAGTACTGAGTTTCTTAGATAGACGTGTTTACTTCGAATGACCCTTTTATTTTTCTGTTCAAATATTCATGTGGCTGTGTTTCCAGAACACCATCTTTTTGTTCTCATCATTTTTTTAACATACGCAAAGGCATCGCATCATAAATGGAAGAGAAAAAAGGGTGTGTTTAGTGATATGTCTTTCAAAGATGAACATCAGTTATTTTTCATTGTGGCAATTATACTAATTTGTTGATGGTTACAGATTTCTCATGTTTCATAAACCCAGGGGCTACAGCCCGAGACTCACAGGAATTGATCTGATTTACAGCAGTTAAGGATGTAGCATGCAGGGTCTGTAGAAGCAGATAGTGAATTTGAAAAAAAAATTATATAAAAAAGTATTCTATTCTAATATATGCATTTAAAGGTTTCACAGGACTAAGCATAACAGATGGAAGCTATTAATCTCTGGAATTGTGTAAATGCTTTTCTCATGATTGTCAGAAATTATATGTTCTTTTATAGCATGACCTTCACCAACTGCAACATTTCAAATTAAAATATGCAAACACTCTATTAAGTTTAGAGTTTAAGCTGTAAAACTGTTTAAATATTTTGATTTTTTTTTTGGTAACTGTTAATTCATTTCATTGTTTTAAAGCTAGTCCAAGTTAAAGGACATTTTCTGTAGGCCTTCATCAAGAGTTTCTGTTTTCTAAACACTTTACATTTTTCCTGTTAAAGTCTGCATCTTTTTAGGTTGCACTCGCGCAGTTCACACTTCCCACATTTGCCAATCATCAAGGCTACGTGGAGTAATTTTTAGATAGTTCTAAACAAAATATTATTTCATCTTTTCCATGCAAAAGAGTGGAGAACAGGCTGCTTCAGTAAACTGCAGGTGCAGAAGGAGAGTCTGGGTCTAAGCAAAGCTTTGCACTTCGAACTAAGTGGAATAGCTCCTGCCAAATTTTAACCAATCTCTGTGTGCCTTCCGTGCTTTTTCAAGTCTGCACAATGAGGGTACTCCATCTCTTGCTGAAGCACTTACCATCCCTTGCAGTCCACATCTCTCCATGACCTCCATTCAGCACACCTCCAACACCCATTTTCTCATTTCATTTCAGTTCTCTTGGCTGCACAGTCTCTCTCATCAGTGCTTCATGCTCTACCTCCATCCTTCAGGAAAGACTTTTTCTCTCAGTTTCTCTTCAATCCCAATTTTATATTATGAAAAGTGTCAAGAAGTTGCCTTAAAAAAATCCAACAGACAAAACAAAAAAAGCCCAAACTTATGAACATAGTTATATAAAACTGTGATTAAAGGACACTATAGAAAAATCATAGAAATAATGTGAACCAACGGCTAGAAATAAACCCCTCGGTTTGAAGGCTTCTGTTGATGTTAGAGGATGCTATGAAAGCAGTACACTGTGTCCACAGAAATGTATTGATGTGGACTACTGGAGATGCTTGTTTTGTCTGAGCTAGTTTGACTGGCAAGTTTATCATCTCCTTTAGATGTTTTGCTTCTGGGAGCTGGTGGAGGCTTGTTTCACAAGGCAGAGAGTGCAGGCTTGGCTGCTCTCAGACCACGGCACTGGCAGTGCAGTGTCGCTCTGTTCACACTCCTATTGACCAGCTTCGGCCTCATTAACCAGGGTCGTGGGAATTTTCCACGCTACTGACCCTGGTCCATTGTTATTAACTGTAACGATTTTTTCGTCATTCCGAGCACAGGAAAGAAGCCTGGTAACATCATCATCTCTGGTTCTGTCCTGGTCTACTCCGAGATTACATTTTTCCATTGCTATTTTTGGCTTTGGTGCCTTTTTCCATCCTTGGCATTTTGTAACTGTTGCATTTATGTTTAATTTAATACAGTGAAAACTCTTAAAATATGTAACAAAATAGATACTCAAGAGCTTACTTTTTAAGCCTGATTTTTTAAATGGTCTTATCGTCTTGCCTTGAGCTGAGCTTTGGAGCCTTGGACCCCCGTTGCTAAAAGCGGAGCTGAAACCTCTGTTGATTTGAATGAGTGGAGAACATTTGTGCAGAAAAATTTAAGACTGCATATTTCAATAAACAACCAGAGATAAAAAAAAAAGTGAGGATAAGGGTGGGAACTTTCCTATGTGTTATAAACTTTCTCTAGATTGTAGAAATCTGTCCTTTACAATGCTGTTAATGGTGAATCTTGGGCACCAGGAAATTCACCTCAATTTCAGATTGCAATCTGGTCTGCCCGGAGGCACCTAGACATAAAGGGTACCAGGAAGGGTCTTCTTCGCCTGAAATTCTCTAAAGGGACATACTCCACGTGTACTTCTTCTGTGCCTATGTCTTCATTACAATCTCAGTGTACATAAGGCTTCAGAAACATCTGATGTTAGTCCTTTGAGAAACCTGTGATCTGGACCACAGCTGATGCAAGTGGTAGAGTTGCTCACTTTTTGCAGAGAGCTTTGCATACATACTGTCTGCATACCAAAGGCTGCGATGCCCAGATCTGGGGTATTCTGGGTAAATGTGTGCCCTGCCAGCTCTATAGCAGCAGGCACACTGCATAACTAAGTACAGTTTCCACATCTAACTAGTCTGGGAGAGTCCTGAGATTTTGATCTTTAGCTTTGGGTGCCTTCTGTCATTTTTATCCAGTGATGGTGAAATATAGAATGTAAAAACTCACTCAGGAAGATAACTGTGGCCACAGCTTTTCACTTTACCACTTTTCTGCTGGCGTCTGGTGGCTGCATGATTCTTGCATTCATAGGGTCAGTTGTTAGTAAAATTGGCCAGGGGCTGTTCTCTGGCCCTGCTGTACGGTGCAACAATATAATTGTCCAGCTGAACCCTCTAAACTTCAAACAGGGTGGCTACATCCAAGCTACCTATTAGGAATTATTCCTAACCCACTTTAATCCCTAGCCTACATGGAAGAATAGTAGTTGTCCTGTGCCAACACTTCTCAAAAGGCCACGCTACCAATTTAATATTGTGAATAACACTGTGCCAGTCCTTGGGCCTGTGACCTGGCCCCGTGTAGCCAACTATTTAGACTCAACTCAGCTCTCGAAGGAGAGGTGAAGCATGACCAAGTGTGTATT